CCTTTAAAGGCCACATGAACCAACATACGGATCATGCTAGCTCATCCCAGCCCTCTTTTTCTTTATTTTGTTTTTAATTTTTATTTTTCTTTTATCTATATGGGCCGGCCCTATAAGAACAAGGCTAGGGCAGCAGCTAGTGCCGGGGATGGCTCAGCTCAACACGGACTGTTGCCAACTCAACACTCATCATACTTATTGACTATGCTCCGGCAGGAGCAATAATATACACTCTCTCTCTCAAGCGAACAATTGTCCTGTGAGCATTTTTCCAATCTAAAATTTTTGCATTTACATAAGAATTATTAGATTATTATTTTATGAAAAAATGAAAAGGAAATTGGATTTTGAGCTCTTTAAGACTTGGATCTCTAATCAATCTTGGGGTCGTACGCACACTTTGGAAAATTTGTTTTTTGGCAAGGAGTAAATGGACAACATGCTCCCACAAATGTAAAATATTTTTGACTAGAAAATACACTAATCTTGGGGTGGTACACAATCTTAGAAATTTGTTTTCTGGGAGGAGTAAATTCGTTTTTGGGAAGGAGTAAATGGACAACATGCTCCCATGGTTATACAAAATCTTTTGACTATAAAATACATTGCATATGTACGTGTGAGCCTACAATTAAGGATAAGCCACGTGTTTAGAGAATGGATGTTGGATATGGGGAAGTATATAAGTTTTATACGGTAGGGAAAGTATCGAAAGCTTGCCCAATCAAAAGTTACTCTAAGTAGTTAGAACATATACTATGTAGATATATTTTCAAACCATGAGTCTCTAAGGAAATAGAACTTCAAAATAAGGTATATGGAGATATTTTTCCTTTTTAAAGTATACTAGTCTCATGTTTCTATAAGGAAATATATATAATATTGGATCAGTATGATATGTCTAACATCAAATTGCTTAAAACTTGAAATCAAATAAATAGATCTAACATAGTGTTTAAAGATCGTTTCATTATATTATTACATAACGGTTGCATTATATATATATATATCCAAACTTATAAATTGAATTCAGATTAAATTTCAAATTAAATTCAGAATATCAGATCAGCAAATATATCTAATAGAAAACTCTAATAAATCCAAAGTATACTAAAACAAGTAATATTACAATTAAAGAGAAAGGAGCAATATCTAATAAAATCCAACTAGTATAAGTAGTTGCAAATATTTTGATGCTAAAGATAAATTTTAACTGCATTCTAAAATAATAATCATTTATTCAATGCTAATACAATATTAAGAGTGGATGCAAGAATAAGAACTCACTGGTTGCAAATGCAATGGCTAGCGAAATCCTTCCATTCGCCAGGATAGTGGCTTGGTAAAGAGCCGATATTACAATCACACATTATATACAAACCTGTTTCTCAAACCTTATGTTGTACATATTATGACCAAGAAACAAGTAAAAGAAGTAAGAGACAGAAAACAGCAGCGTTAACTATCTGTATCAGAAGATAGTTACCTGAGATACAATAGAGTGAAATGATTTACAGCAGAACCAGCAAACCAAACAGCAAACCGAAAGGATTTACAGAGAGAAAAGAGAATGAGAAGAGAGAAAGAGAGAAGGATTAATTCTTCAACGAGCGATTTCACCATGCCTTCAGTGATCAGCTTCTTCGCCTTTTATAGCGGACGGACTCAAGATGCTTATTAATTATTTTGCATTTGCTTTTACAGGTGGACGGCTGGATGAAGATTGATATATCAAAGATTCGCTTTGCTTGACAGCTGGTGATTGCTTTTAGAAAAGATTCGTCGGTGGAGAAGAACAGATTTGGATCGAAGCATCGGCTGAGAGGACAGGTTTGTCTCGGAGCGTCAGCGGAGAGGGACATGTCAAGACAAGTGGCATGTATGGAAGTTCTTCACTGTAGCTAAGGGCAGGTGGCAAGTACGGAGATGGATAGGTGGCAGGTACAGAAATTCTTTATGTCGGCCAATTAGTCTTTCTAGAAGTTCGACTGGGTCATTATTCGGGCTTAATAGAGAGTGGGCTTCTGCGAGAATCCATGAACAGTCTGCAATTCTTCACTTTCTATTTCGTTCGTATCTTGTGAAGAAATATTTTCAGTTTCAACCTCTTCTTCAAAAATTTGTAATAATTGTTTTTCCGTCTCTTCTTTTGTTGTCGTGGGATGTTGTTTCCTCATTTTTCTTATATGCTCTGAGAAATTATTTGGGTCAAATTTATTTGGGTCATTGGCTGAAAATATGTTTGGCTGAGGAATTGGTGGTATCCTCTTTAGCATTACTTTTTTAGGTTCCAAATTTTTGTTATCAAAGACATCCCACCACTTTATAAAAATTTTCTTTCCCAATTTCGGAATATATTCAAAATTATTGACCATATTTTCTGAAATCCCATATTCCCATTTCAAGATCCACGGAATTTGATATATTGCCATAAAGTACAAATGATGATCAATATTTGGGTCCATACCATTATATTCTACAAACTTGGCTTGGGATGTTTGTAATTTTTCTGGTAATATTAGGGATCCTGATCCCCAGACCAAAAACCAATCTGTAAACCAATTAGGGAATGGCTGTATAATAGGCATTTTAAATTGGAGGTAGAAAGTATGAGAGTTATTCATATTTTGTAGGGCAAATATTTTTTGCCTGGTATATATATATATATATAGTGCTGTTTGTATAAAGCTTAGGCTCTAAACAATCAAAATAGAGCCCACCTTCAAATAGTGTAGAGAAATGTGGTTTCAACATTGCAAATCTTTGTAATATCGTTAAAATATATTTTTAGCTCGAATTCTAAAATTTAAAAGCTTAAAAAATACTATAGATCGAGCAAATCTATAAAAACTTGAAAATCTTAAAAATTTATGGTCCAAAAATGCATTACAAGATGCACTATTTCCAAAACTTGAAATCCATTTTTGTTCTCATATCCATGCATCTTGATGTCCAGATGATCAATTTGAAGATATTTAGGCATCAAAACAACCTCTTTCTGTGAAATGTTTTGAGGCAGGCTCTAATTTGATTGTTTAGAGCCTCGGCTTTATATAAACTTTATATATATATGTATATATATATATATATATATGGGATAATCTAAAGTTCACAACCTTTTAAATTACAAATGTTAATGAAATAATGAGTTATGAATGGTAGATTTACTAATTTTGTGGTTTAAAAATTTTGTGATATGTTCATCATTAAGTAAGGATAATTTTGTAAATATCACTACAAGGCAATGGATACTTTTGTCATCTCCGTACTGAGTAAAGTTGAAATTTTTATTAAAGGATAATGGTACTCTACAAATAAGTTCCAGAACATTAATTTTCAAAATGTCAATGTACTTTTGTAAAAATTTCAAATTTGTTTTTGCTTAATGGTTAAGTTACCTATGAAATTCATTTTTAAACAAAAAATAATGATCATTTTGATAAATACACCCATCACAACCCCTTCTAATATTACCGTTTGTTTTATATATATATATATATATATATATATATAACTACTT